CCCCACCCCACCCCACCCCCATGTCCTGGCCATGTGACCCTAGCAGGGCTCCTACCTCTGGGTCTCTCTGCCAATTGTGAAATGGGCTGACTCCTCACCCACCTCCGTGAGGCGGTGCCCTGAGCCGGGCCAGAGGTGTCAGCCCGTTTAATCTGCAGGAACTGACCCAATCCTTAGCGAGTGAGCACTGGACAGACGCCAGCTAACCCCACAGGAAGATCCCTGGCAAGGCGGTTTAGTGGTTCCTGTCAGGGAGGGAGGGTGTGGTAGGGTCAGGACTTTCCCCTAGGAGCACCTCAGTGCCACCAGCTCCCGGACCAGCCATGGGAACATTTGCAGCCTCAGGAGCCCGGGGACCCCGTCACCCCACAGCGGGGACCACTGTCCTGTTCCTAACAGCCACCCTGATCTTGCCCGACTTTGCACTTCCATGAAAACAGAATCAACACACATGCCTTCTCTTTAAAATAAGTCTTAAAAAAAACACTCCCCCATGGTTGTTTAAATATCGAAAGTAAAAAAAAGGAAAACCCAGAGGTGAAAACCCACGGTTTGGGGATGAGAAAAATGTCCTCGTTTTGACACCAAAATTCCCACATGCTGGGTGACCCCAGGCTCTGGGGGGGGCCGCGAGGGTCTGGGCTGGTGCTGGTCCCCGAAGCAAGTACGGGGATTGACTCGGGTTCCCAGAGCTGGGACGGTGACGCCTCATTTTACGGCCGACAAAGCCGAGGCCCCCAGAGCCAGTGCCCGGCCAGCGTCCGAGCTCACATGAGGCCAGCAGCTTTCCTCGCCGGCCGGGAAGGCGTCGCCCTGGCGGTCACAGTGCCCTCCGCTCGCCCTGACATCCCCAGACCCAACCTGCACCCCCCTGGGCCTGGCCAGAGCCCCATGGCACCACCAGATCTTACCTGGCAGGTGGGGACCCTGTGCCAAGGGAAGGCAGCGCCGTGGCAGTGGAAGGAAAGTCCCGCTGGGCTCTTTCCTGTGTAGGCCCCTCTGCTTCCTGAGCGGCTGTCACTTACCGACAGTCATGGCCTGCGGGGGGCGGGGGCGGGGAGGGGAGAGGGCCCAGCTGGGGAGGGGCAGGGATTTCCAGAAGCCTGCACAGCAGCGGGTCACGTAGGGGTCTCCGTATGTTAAGGGCAGAAGTAGAGAAACGGGGACTATAATGATAAATATTGATCATGTTGTTAACGGTGATTGTTCTGTGCTGATTAGAGGAAGCGCTTTCTCACTGGGCTGAGAGTTGTACGCCCTGGGCCGTGAGGACTAACGTTGGAATGCAGCCCATCTGCTCCCGGAGGCGCACCCGCATGGCCTGTAACCTGCGAGCACTATGCCTTACCTACCTCCCCAGGCCTGTACTTCCTCCTTTCCCATGAAATCTTTACCTCCGACCCAACAGAAGCAGCTGGCTGATGGGGAGGGACAGAGCAGATTTTCCCGGATGACTTGCTGCTCTCCCGTATGCCGGCATTATCAGAACAAACACTCATATCTGATTCAACCCTGTGTCTGCTTTATTGGCCCCAGTGGTGACAGGCAGCCCGGACCCATTCATTGTCCGGTTACAAGCAGGCTCCAGACCCACTCTCTGTGGGGTCCTAGCAACACCCCAGCTCCCCAGGCCTCAGTTTACCCATCTGTGGCATGGGTAGATTGGGCACCCAGAGGAACTAATTTTAGGCCCAGGGAAGGGAACTAACTGGGCTGGATCTTCCCAGAAAGGAGGCCAGGAAGTTGTCTCAGACAAAGGTCAAGTTCTCCTTCCAGCTGTATCTCCCAGGAGGCCCTGGAGGGGCAGAGCCCCCCACCCAGTGCATGGTGCCCTGTGCCCAGCCCCCAGCTGCTCCTGCCCGAGGGCACACCTCACCATCTGTCTGGCAGGGAGGCAGTTAATCACCATGGACAGCAAAGAAAATGAGCTGACAGGCCAGGGCCCTGTGGGACTGGGCAGAGGCCAGGACCCATCCAGCTGGGATCCGAGGCAGGACCCGAGCTCCCCTGGCAGAGGGCACCCCAAGGACAAAAGCATGGAAGTGAGCTGAGCAGTTTAAAGAGCAGGAGGCCCCTGGGGCTGGAGGAAGTGAGGAGGAGGACAGAGGGTGGGGTCTGATTGACGTCTGGGTGTTTAACTCCCCTGAGGCGGTCCTCGTGGCGGAAGCTGGACCCCATCCAGGGGGCGCTGGGGCCAGTGTCTTTAATAGGATGTGAACCATGCGAAGAAATTTGGGGAGAGGTTTTAGAGGACTCTTTTATCTTGGTAATCCCATCACACGTCCTGGCCAAAAATGACTGAAGTATGTATTTTGTTGACTTTAATGCAATCTTCCAGGTACTTATTGGGCACCTCCCCGTGAAGGTACGAGGAGGGCACAGCCGGGAACACAGCAGACACACCCTCTGGGGAGATGACGGCAAAGAAATGTATTCCCTGTGAGTCCTTGCAGTGGCCCCTGGGCCCAGGCTGCTAGGCGAGGCCCCGAGTCTGGGAGGGCTTTCTGCAGGAAGCAACTTTTAAAAAATATATATATATTTTATTGATTTTTTACAGAGAGGAAGGGAGAAGGATAGAGAGCCAGAAACATCCATGAGAGAGAGAAACATCCATCAGCAGCCTCCCACACCCCTCCTACT